TTCTCTATAACTCTGTGCTACTATACTACTGGTGGAACAGAATACAACACAACACATATTCTCTATAACTCTGTGCTACTATACTACTTGTGAACAGAATACAACACATATTCTCTATAACTCTGTGCTACTATACTACTGGTGAACAAATACAACACATATTCTCTATAAGTCTGTGCTACTATACTACTGGTGAACAAATACAACACATTCTGTATAACTCTGTGCTACTATACTACTGTTGAACAGAATACAGCAAAAACATAGAGAACCCCAAACTTTGCTCACAGAGATGGAAACCACAGGTTGTAAATTACACGATAAAAATAATTTGTGCATTATTACACTGATTTGTTATTACAGTTTTATTTGTTACAACTGTGCACAAAGTACTTATTTAAATATGTAATTAATGTTAAAGACAAACAACTTAATAAATGAAAATGTTACATTAAATTAAAATGTTTCAAAGGAATAGTAAGCTGTAGTGAACAGTGGATTAATAAGTTGAAAGGATTCCAGTAATTGTTCGATATTGTTGTTTCAAGTAGTTGTAATGTCCAATTATAGTGATATGAAAGGATTGTGTAAGCCAGAAAATGTAAGCTGTAATGGACAATTTACAGATAAATTGGTATAGAGCACATTAGTTAATTTACTGAACATTGGAAACCATTGAAGATGAGGTATTAAGCTAGAAAAAGTTATGTTATGACAAACTGCAACGGCTAGAAAGGAAAGAGCTCTATTAGATTGTGCTAACAGTCAATATTGTCAACTTAACAATATACATATAGACACACACACACATGTGTGTATGTAAATAACACACTTAAGATGTAATACCGATTCTTCACCTTGTGTTTAGTGGTAATTATCTTCTCCTGGCCGAGGAATGCTACTACCTGTTGACCTGGGTCTCCTCTGAGGACTGGGTGAAGTCCTTGCAACCCTATGGACAGGGATGAATGACTTTCTATTCACATGACCTCTGCCTCTGGAACTGGGACTTACTGGAGGGGTGACCTGTGATGGCAACATGTTTGGACTGGTTGCTCTCCTCACCAAGGAAGAACTATCTGGTGAAGGGCTGGGAGAAACTGGGCCAACAGCCAAGGATCTAACTGGAGAGCTTGTGGATGAATGAGAGGAAACTGAGGATTGGGAGCTGACAGGACTATGATGAGATTTTCGTCTTCCTGATACAGCGTGGAACATTTTAGGTACCACAGACTGTACCTTTTCACTTTTCTGTTTTGACAAACTAGTAGCTGGAATTGGAGGTCTTTTGGAAGTGACAGTTGTAACAGTGTTAGTCTTTACTGTTTCCAAATTATTTGTAGTAGTAAGATTTTCCCATCTTCTTTTCAGTTGCTCAAACACTTTACCATCACAATCTTTTTTATTTTCAACAAAAGTATTACTTACAACATCCTCAGTTGCACTACGGGATCTTGGTCTCTCAACATCATTTTTTTGGATTTTAATGCCTTGTTTATTTCCTTTGCCTGATGAGCAACCAGGTGATTTCTGAATTGTGGGTTTTGATGATGGAAAGGCAACGTTCACACCTTTCTGCATTACCTCACTTCCAAGCTCTCTGTTCACTCTGCTAGGAACCAGTGTTTTAGGCTTCTCTGGCAATGGAGGCTTTTCTCTCATCTTATTTGATATCTGTTTACCCACTATATCTTCACATTTTTGCTTATTACTTGATTCTTGACTTAAAACTTCAAGTAGCCTTTTCTCGGTAAGATCACTTCCATTCCAGCTTTGCCGTTTCTGATGAGATAGTGTTTTCAGCTGACCCTTCTCCATGAAAGAGACTGGACGCTGACGTTGGTTGGCATCACTCTGATGTTCCATTTTAGCATGTCTTCTGCGAACAACATGGTTTTTCTCTTCAGTGTCATGGAAAGTAGAATGTTCTTGAGGTGAGGGCTGTACTTCACTAACAAAGACACTGTACTCTACACTAAGTTCTAGGGTGAAAGACATTGAAGCAAGAGGTCTCAGTTTTGTTAGCAGCTCTTCACACAGACTAGTGGCTGAAGGAAAGGACAGAAGACTGAGCAGTGCTTCAGATGTATAATGACGACTAACTAAAGTTTTACAAGATGTCAAGTGAAGAAACCACCAGTCCAAGCTTCCCAAACTGAAAAAATATTGAACAAACAATATTTTAGAAAACTTCAAGATTACTTAAATTATACACACAAAAGAAAATATGTTGTAAATAAATGAATACCCATTACATCAATACCTATTAAAGTTTTTTTTTACTCTGATGGAAGGTGAAATATTTTAGCAGAAAAAAGTGTTTTCCATTATCTATATATAACTGAAACTTGTGAATTTCAAGTCACAGTAAAAATTTTAATTAATCACAATTCATATAATTTCTCAATTCAGAAAAAAACAACAAAAAACTACTCTCTAAAATCAAAATTATATATAGAAAATTAGCTTTTTCACAGACCTTTCTTTCATTTTTTCCTTAGATAGGAACGTTTTTGACAAATAATTAATTTGATGCTTAAGATTACAGTTTTTCCAGATGAGACCTGATCATAAAAGCATAGTTCACTGATACAAAAGTTTTGATATTTTTGTCCATGAATAAAGTTTCTTCTTCCACTTTCCTGGCTTTAATATGAATGCCAAAATTACAATCAGACTTGATTATCATATTTGTGATTACTGTAATCCTAATAAATATGGTTAGTGGTATAGTATACAGCTGTTCTTCAAAATTATTATAATCACAATTTAGTAAAACAAAAATATTTCATTACATAATGGTCAATACTGAATACCCACAGAAATACAACGTAAATGTCACAGAAACTAATGTACTAGAATGTGCGAGAGCAAACATAAGAATAACGTAGATGTCACAGAAACTAATGTGCGAGAGAAAACTTAAGAACAATGTAGATGTCATAGAAGTTAATGTACTAGAATGTGCGAGAGAAAACATAAGAACAACGTAGATGTCATAGAAACTAATGTGCAAGAGCAAACATAAGAACAATGTAGATGTCACAGAAACTAATGTACTAGAATGTGCAAGAGCAAACATAAGAACAATGTAGATGTCACAGAAGTTAACGTACTAGAATGTGTGAGCAAACATAACAACGTAGATGTCACAGAAACTAATATAATAGAATGTGTGAGTAAACATAAGAATAATGGAGATGTCACAGAAGTTAAAGTACTAGAATGTGCGAGAGCAAATAAAAGAACAACGTAGATGTCACAGAAGTTAATGTACTAGAATGCGCGAGAGCAAACATAAAAACAACGTAGATGTCACAGAAACTAATGTACTAGAATGTGCGAGAGCAAACATAAGAACAACGTAGATGTCACAGAAACTAATGTACTAGAAAGTGCAACAGAAAATGTAAGAAACCATACATAGATATTTAATGATAAATAGTCTCAAGCCTGTT